TAATAAATTTAACATTTTCCAAGTTTACAGTTTGTTGACAGAAGTAAAATGAGCAGAAATGGTGGCGATGGAGTTCCTGTGGTATATGTACATACATATGTATATGCTTGTATATATATGCGGCTGTGCGAAGTGTGACCTACAGTGTATTCTGTTGGTTCATTTATTACTACCGTTATTTCTTCATTTGGTTATTTGTGAGAATAAGTTTCCTACTTGAAATTGTCAATTAATATTTATCCGAACAGGAGAATATTTTTAATACATTACATTACATTAAAGGTAACTTTGGGAGATTTTTGGAGAGAAAATAGACTGTCTACCTCGCAACCTTGCGATCGACCACAACACGTGCGGTATGGGATAGATACCAAGAGATGAAGAGGGAAGCAAGACGCAACAGCAGACAAAAAAGAAAGAGGTTGCGATGCGTGAGTATGAAGAGGTTGCGAAGCTGGCTAACAAGGGTAATGCTCGAAAATTCTACAAGAAGATACGGCGACTTACAGAAAGTTTAACACCGGAGCAGACTCTTGTAGGACACAAAGAGGGGATCTAGCCACTGATGCCCAGAGTATATTAAATTTATGGAGGGAATACTTCTCGAACCTGCTGAATAGTATGGAAAATAGAGAATCCGGAGATGGTGAACCCGAAGCCCCAATCGAGGTTTCATTACCTGACCTTGATTAAGCTCGTATAGCAATCGCCCGCTTAAAAAACAACAAAGCGGCGGGAGCTGACGCTTCACCAACAGAGCTATTTAATAATGGCGGCGGAGAGCTGAAAAGGTGTATGCGTCCGCGACTTTGCAGAATATGGTCAGTTGAAAGCATGCCCGACGATTGGAATTTAAGTGTACTCTGCCCAATTCATAAAAAAGGGGACCTCATAGTCTGCGCCAATTACCGTGGAATAATCCAACTTAATATCGCCTGTAAGGTCCTGTCGAGCTTATTGTTTAAAAGACTGAAGCCCACCGTCAACAAACTGATTGGACCTTATCAGTGTGGCTTCAGACCTAGTAAGTCAACCATTGACCAGATATTCACCATGCGACAAATCTGGGATAAGACCCGTGAAAAGAGGATCGATACTCACGACCTTTTCGTTGATTTTAAAGCAGCAGTCGACAGCATTAAAAGGAGCTGGCTTTACTATGCTATTTTTGAATTTCGTATTCACGCAAAACTTATACGACTGTGTAAGCTGACGCTGGATAACACCAGAAGCGCAGTCAGCATTGGGAAGGACCTCTCCGAGCCGTTCGATACCAAACGAGGTTTCAATTTGATGCTGGAGATAATAGTAAAAGCTGCAGAGCTGAATAGAGAAGGTACAATCTTCAATAAGAGTGTACAACTACTGGCGTACGCCGATGACATTGATACTGTCGGCCTCAACAACCGCGCCGTTAGTTCTGCTTTCTCCAGTCTTGATAAAGAAGCGAAGCGAATGCGTCTGGTAGTGAACGAGGACAAGACGAAATATGTCCTGACATCAAACAAACAGTCATCACATTAGCTACTTGACTCCCACGTCACTGCTGACTGTCATAACTTTGAAGTTGTAGATAATTTCGTCTATCTAGTAACCAGCAATAACACCAATAATAACTTGAGTCTTGAAATCCAACGCAGAAACACTTTTGCGAACAGGTGCTACTTTAGACTAAGTAGGCAATTGAAAAGTAAAGCGCTCTCCCGACGAACGAAAACCAAACTCTACAAGTTCCTCAACGTTCTCGTCCTGCTATAGAGTGCGGAATCATGGCCGATGACAGTATTCGAAGAGACGGCGTTAAGAGTTTTTGAGAGAAAGGTTTTGCGTAAGATTTATGGTCCTATCCTACAACGACGAATATAGCAGACGATGGAACGATGAGCTATACGAGTTATACGGCGACATTGACATAGTTCATCAAATCAAGAAATAGCGGCTACGCTGGCTAGGCCATGTGATTCGTATGGTTGCGAATACTCGAGCTTTGAAAGTTTTCGATGCAGTACCCGCCGGTGGAAGCAGAGGAAGAGGAAGACGTCCACTCCGTTGTAAAGACCAGGAAGAGAAGAGCCTGGCTGTACTTGGTATTTCGAATTGGAGCCAAACAGCAAAAAAGAAGACACTAATCGCGTACAGTTGTAAATAGGCTATAATCGCGTAAGCGGTGTCTGCGCCAGTAAAGTAAGTAAGTTAGTATTTATTTTCCAAACGCCCATTAGATTTATATATGTAAATAAAGAGATGGCTGAAATGTATTATCATTTAGCTGGCATTATACATAGAATCAAGGAAAGAAAAACCTAGTACAGTTCTTGAGTTTTCTACTAATATTTAGTTTTAATACAAGCCTTTATAAAAGTTACTTTAGTGTTTACTAAGTTCATTTCGCGTAAAAAAAAAATTGAAAAGTGACAAAAATATCTTGGGTCATAAACTCAGCTGTACTTTACTTTTACTACTTTACTAGGTTTCGAAATTACCTTACATACGAGGTCTGTTAAAAAGAAAAGCTAGTCACGTCTTTGTGTGCCTTCGATTTTAGACCTTTGAAAAAGAAGGTACAGACCAAGAGTTTCTAAATTGGCATCGTCGCTTCAAGTTAGCTCGAATGGATCAAAACTGATGACGATTCGTGGGGTATGGTTATGACGTTGAAACCAATACCGATTTATCCCAATAGGAAGCGGCCAGATGAGCCAATACGAATTTTATTATTTTTCCCAATCGTATTCTTCACGTTATATTTTGGAAAAATAAATAAAAAATACTACTTCTCTTATTTATTAAATTGAAAAACAAGAACTATAACTCTTGGTTTTCGTATTTTATATCTTTCTCATATTTTCGTACATTATTTGCATATATTATATAATAATCAAAAAAAATCTACTGTTAATTTACTACATTTTTTGTATAATTTTTATTTATTAGTGCATTGCGTATTATTACTCAAAATTTCAGTGTTCCAATCCTGGTCAGACCAAAAACAAAAAAAAAAAACAAGTAAAGAAAATTATTTTCACTTTTTTTTAGTTCTAACATCAAAGAAAAAATCCTCATTATAATCTTTCGATCGTTTGTAAGCGACTTAGAATAAAATATAGAACAGCGTATCTATAATTTTGCTGGAAAAACAAAACAACCAGCCGAAAGTCACTTCAGCGGTTACAATACTTAAATATAACAGTTATAGGAATAAATGTCTTATCAACTAATCTTTTGCTTACATAATACAATTAATACAAATTTTTGCTTGATTCTTCTACTCTTTTTTCACATTCTAGTATTGAAAGTTAAATAAAACGTTTTTATAGCTATACACAAAATTGCAACTACTTTTTACCGATTATATTTAACTAAGTAATCCATAACTTCATGACTACGTCTTCGCACCTTTTTTCAAACACTTTTCTTTCTATATAAACACTTCTTTTTAAATTATAGTTTCATTTCTGATGCTAATTTGTCCCACACTTTTCTCTGTACCACTGTATTGTTTTTGTACTATTTTATATCATTTTTTAAATATAAAGCCTGAAATATTTTCCGAACAATCTAGCACTCCAAAAAGCTACTTCTAGTAGTTAATCTTGCTTTAGCTTTTATTAGCTTATTTTGCTTTCCCCTCAACTTAAGGCATTTGCATACAATTTCTATGCTTGTTTTTCACATGTCCGAGCGTTAATTATCAACCAGCAGTCGCAATGGCACCACCCTTTCAAGCATAAAGGCCTACGAAGTCGAAGTGCGTCTAATTTGTGCAATTTCGCAGTTGTTGACGCCGTCACTCAGTCTAAGGTTGTCCTCATAGCAACCAGATTAAGAAGAACAGCAAAAAAATCAACTGGCTAACAGTCAAATATTCCACAAGAACTTGTTGCAAAACATTTTGATATATCACAACATATTAGCCACCACTATAAGGCAACATCTGTACTGGTCTGTTATTGTTTGCTATCGAACATGGCCAGTCAAGCAGCGGCTCCCAATGTCCCCATCCTTCAAAATAGACAGAAAAAAGGTTTGCTGTTGGCGCTGCAGCGCTAACCACTCGAATGTGGGCCATTAGGTAATTCCACTTTGCCTGTTGCATTTACGATTGCGGCTTGCCATGAAGTTGTTGGTGAATAGCAGTAAGCATATTAAAGCTCTTTTCCAGTTTTATGTCATGGTGATGCTGGTGGCAGTTTGTTTTTGTTGTTTTTATGTGGATGTAGTTTATTATGGTTATTTGCAGGGATTTATTTTTGTTCGTTTTTTTTTATCTGGGCGTTGGAAATGAATTTTCCATTCCTGTCGGGGATTAAAGAAATTTTGGGAATTCATTCTGGAAACTATTAGAAAAAGAGCTCGTATTTGAAATAACTGATATTCATTTACATCATAAAATCGCAAGAGACATGGCACTGAATCACAGGAATTAGGAAATTTTTAACTGTCAGTAGAACATGAAGATTACACAAAAATAGATAAATTCTATGTATGTAAAGTGAGTGCGCAAAAAATATTTTCAATGAATATGCGTCCTTACTCTATTAAAGTTTATCGTTAACTCTGTATGCTTAGTTTCTTTTTCTGGTTTCTTACTTTTGAATATCTCTGCATGTAGCTGATACGTGTTAAATAATTCATAAATGTCAATTTTTAAACACTTTTATACATTTTCCATCAGAAAGAAATCTGAAACTTGAAATAATTTTCTCCCAGGCGGCTCCAGTTGTCATATTCCATCAAATCTTTCAAGCCCTACTACCACCAATTTTCATGTTAACATTTCAATGGAAAAAAATTATTTTATTCCACTGTGCACATTCAATTTCCAGTCCCAACACAACACAACATTACAACGTCAAAACCAACCCACACCGAACATGTTCGTATGCAACAGTTGAAAACTGCCATATACAACCACAACAAATTGTTGGCAGCAAACATTTTGGCCAAATTACAAGTGCTTGCAGCTAAAACGTTAAGCAAGTTTAGTTTTCATTGCAAGCTCAACGATTCTTGGTCACGAATTGTACGTACCGGTTAATTACACGGACGGTTAATTAATGTAACAGATGGTGAAGTTAAAAGAAAATAAAGAAAAAAACTGTAATAGTAAGAATATTAATTAATTTTTAAAAAAATTGTAATTTTCCATATAAAACGTATGCAGAAATGTAGCTTTTTGTAAAGAATAGCGATTTCCAAAAAAAATTTAAGCAATCTACACCAATGAGTGATTTCATAGTGATTTTTAAATGAAGTGAATTGTTGACGCTCCCATTACGGGGGTGTGGTGCTGTAAAAGTAGAGCGATTTATCGAGATCTACCCAGTAAGTGTTAAGCCATTACTAAGAAAAATAAAATTAAACTAATATACATAAAGTAATTAATAATTAATAAAGTAAAGCAAATAAAAAATATGAAAATTCATTTTAAAATAATATCAAATAACATGAAATAAAAGTATAAAATATAAACTAAGACACAAAATCAAATAAAAAATAATATATTACAATTACAATATACAATATATTTATGCAAAAATATTTCCAAAGTTGAAATCGAAGTGATTTGCCTTTTCGATAATTTTGTTGATGACGATTAAACCGAAATTACGACTATAATATAAAATTATATAATGTAACGAAAAACTTAATAATATTTATGAAACAAAGTATATGTGTTTTAATATAAAATAAAATCAAATAAGAAACGAAAAAAAAAAATTATAGAAAAAAGTTATAATATATGAGGTATAAAAAAATACGATAAAATAAAACAAAATTAAATAAAATAAAATTTAAATACAATACAAAATAGGGGAAAAATAAAATAACTTAAATTAAATTAAAATAATAAAATAAAATGTAATAATAAATTAAGAAAAATGATACAAAATATATGTAGAAATAGAATAATGTAAAATGTAAATAAAGAAAATTATGAAATAAATCAAATGAAATTAATATAATAATTAAATAAAACAACATACAATAAATTGAGAAACTAAATATAAAATAAAAATAAAATGAAATATATGAAACGAGATTATTATAATAACAGAAAACGAAATAAAAGTAAAATTAAATGAAGCTTATTATGAAAAGACTTGACCAAAATTCAAACATAATACGCGCCTTTTGGATGATTTTCTCGATGACGACAACATAACAACTATGAAAGTAGATTAATCAATATAAAACAATATGTATATTTAAATATAACACCGAAAAAAAATAAAGTATTTTAGAATTAAATTAATTAGAATAATAAAAAAATTAAATAAAATAAAATGAAATAAAAGAATAAAATTAATTTTGCAAAAAATATTATTGAGTTTCAAACCCATACAGTGTGCCTTTTTCGCGGTTGTGTGGATGACGAAACAAAATAAATGAAAATTCAAATATAAAAAGGCACAGCATCCTGTCTTTAGCTCTTTAATTTTCGTCTTTCTTCTTATTGTGTTCTTTTGGTTTAATGCAGCTTTAAGTTTGCTAGAATATTTGGCCAACAGAAAGCAACAACAAAACTGTTACATGAAACGTAAAATATGCTTATTTAGTGTGCATTGAAGTGCTTGTGTCTGAAAGTTTGTATCTCTTTGTTTATTATGCGCATCTAACTCACCGTACGATGCGAAAAAGGTGGGTTAAAGTGTAAGAAAATATAAAGAAAAAGCAAAAACTCGGTTAAAATATAATGTAAATATAGAGCAAGTAAAATCATTGTCGTTTGTGATCAAGTGTTTCTGCCTGTCTGCTTTTAAGTCTGTGGTAACAGTGGTGGCAGTTACTTGTTGCAGTTACAGCTTGTTGCATTAGGATGGAAAAAAATAATAAAATTGAGGAATCTCAACAAAGTTTAATATATCAACGAGATATATGGAAACAATACCAAGTAGAAAACTGAAGTTGCTGAAATTGAGGCTGGAAGTTGTGGATTGTGGAAGAAAATAAAAGAATAAAGTGAAAATTATAATATTTGTAAAAGTAGAATAAAAAATATGCTGATAATTAAAAATATAAAAGTTATTCATAGCACCTGGGAAAAAAATCCGTTTTAATACAAATTTGCGCCAATTTCTTATTTATATTGAAAACGTGACTCACGTAAATACCGTTTGTGTATAGTGTTCTTAATTTAAACCCATTTTCTTTTAATTTGTATTTTCTATGCATAAATTCTAGATAATCAAGTGTGGTTAATTGGCAATAATTTTGTACATTATCTCGTGCCACAAACTGAGAAGTGGCTAGAATTGCTTATTTTTGATCTAAATAACTTTAAGAATGTGCGAAATGCGGTGCCAGTGAATAATTATTACTTGTAGCTGTTCAATTCAATTAGGTGAGTACAAGTGATTACATGTAAATATACTTATAACACAAAAATACTTACATTACGGCAGAGAGTACTAATTAAAAATATAAAAATAAAATGAGTTTATGATTGAGATTTTTATTTTTGCTGAAGAAAATTATTTCACTTTCATCTAGCCGATTCGGCAACACGAAAGCTTTTACTTTATGCAAATAACAATAATTAAAAACAATTGAAATATTTGAGTAACGACGACCCTCATCTCGCTTTGGCTTAATGCCGTCTAATTATTGATTATGAAATTTAAAAAATTACGTATTGTATGTGATTTATTTGAATGTATGATAAACAAAATCAGTGGAGAGCCATCAGACTTGTAAGTATTAGCCTTGCGGGTATTCCTCATAATTATTTCACGACGTGGACTTCCGGCAGATTTTTATCCTCTTACAAATACAATGTACGTCTTGATCCTTTCCCAACCAGTTGAGGCATTCATGAATTATTTAAGGCCGCCTCCGAACAGCTAGCGGAATGGTGCGACTTTATTTCATGTCATAAATACACTCGGAGGAGATGCCACTCCATACCAAGGGACCTTTCGCTTTTTATTCTCAAATCTGATAAATTGGTTATGATCTGTTATGAAGGTCTCCGATTTCGAAGATATTTACACATTTGAAGGTTATTTGTAAATACGTGAGTATTTCATCAAATTTTTCGCTTTTAGTTGCTTTATTGGCGAACCCTAAACATCACAGGTGAGCAAGCCGGTTATAAGGGGGTTTAAAATAATGTCCTCCAATTTCGATGACATTGTTTATTTACATATGCATGTGGAGAATCTCAGCTCTCAAAAATCTCAAAAGTCATCTGATTTCGATAGTTTTCAGGGCCAATATGTAGCTCATCACGTGCAGGTATCAACATACTACATTAGTCTCATGTGGCCGGCTCCAACAAACGATCGCTTAAATATATCAGTGCATCATCTACCAACTTTGGTAGAGAAATCTAAAAAATTTAGCATTAGCTTGCAAACCAACAAACGTATAACGTACCTTTTGGTACTTCCATATTTCGATCCAAAATTAATATACCATTTCATGTATTGTATATGAATGGGGAAGTAATTAATTAATCTATTTGTTTTTATTAAAATTAATTCTGTTTAAATTTGGATGTTGGTCGAGGCAGATAGTGCGTACTGCACATTTGGTAAAAAGGAGGAAAGGCTAATGCGAAAAGCACTGCTATCAAATCGAGCACAGCATGTCAAGGTACATAGCGTCGTTTATTTATATTGCTGAGGAGGCCTAATTTTTTGAAGATTCCTTATATTCACACGCCTTGTATTTGCGCCCAAATTATAAAAATATTCTACGATTTTTCGTTGCTTCAATTCTCGGAAGAAAATTTACTCCATATCCTAATTTTGACAAAAGAAACGGAACAAAAATTAAAGAAATCTAACCATAAATAGGGTGGGATTTTGGAAGAAAAATTATGCCGCATGCCATTCTAAGCTATAAGCTTAGCTATGATTTAAAATAAATCAAACCATAAATAATATTTTTTAGCGATTCTTCCCTTGTTCCATTCCCGGAAGTTATCTTTTATAAAAACCTTCTTCTGTCAACTTCAAACAACCGAAATAGAATTTGAGCCATGCCCAATTCATGAAGTGGTTTAAATTTTTTAACAATTTCTATATGTACTGTATATGCATAATTAGTAGTGTAGTTTACATAACTCATTATTTCAAAAACAAAGTCTTTCGTTTAATGTTTTTAACTTATGGATTTTTTTGCTCGAAAAAGTTGTAGTTTTTAACTTTTCGTAAATTACAATTTCTACAGGCTGGAAGAAGCATAATTTTTAGCCTTAAACTATTCATAATGGCCATTATTTCTTTTTTTCTAGTAATAACTCAAAATTAAGTGAAAGAATTCATTATTCTACTCCGTCGCTGCTTTCCAAATCCATACCATTATCTACTCCCTCTCTTGCCGTTATACCAACCTTCACTTAGAAAAAATCTAATTACTTATGCATACTTTCTTCCCAAGAAGCTACTTAGTAGTTGCTCGTTCAAGCGGACACTTTTCAATTACAAGTCTTACAAACTAATTACTTAACTGTGCCACATTTCACCATCTGACTTGCTGGCTGATGTGCGGCTGAGGGTGTTGGATAGAGAACTTTCATTGTACAAGTGCATTTGCGAAGAAATTCTTTGCGATTTTTGGAGTGTTCGCGTAATTTCAGTGGAAAGATATTTGCATATTGAAACTGTAAGTAAAGATTATGTTTGCATGTGCGATAAATATTGCTTTAATAACGCAGATGAATGAATTTGTCTTCCATGTAAAGGTGTGTTTTGTATGCCGACGTTGCGACGGTATTCATAATTATAATGTTCATGTTGAACATATTTTTGCTCTATACCTATATCATGTCCTTAGTGTTAATGAGAATGTGAAACAATTGGTAAGAAATGCAAGCAGGTTCACAGCACAGTAGAAACTTTTCTGCCCAAGTTAGGTAATTTTATTGCTTATGGAAGTAGTTTCATTTGGACCATGAAGCAGCAAGACGATGAATATTACTTTAGAATCTGAATAAAAATATTTTTATTTTCAGCTTAATTTACTAATTTCTGAATTCCTTCAAGAGTACTTATGGACATATCGAGATCGCCGGTAGCAAATTATAATTCAGCTAGCGCCCGCTGTTGCACAGGAGGACGCTACAGGTAGACTCACACTTTCGATGTTCATTAAAGTGTTATCGAACCCAAAAAGAATAAATAATGAAAGTCTGGCTGCACTGAGTTCACTGACAAACAGCGCGCTCACAACAATCAGTAACTGAACAAAAGTTGGACTTAGTCAAGTTAGGCCAATACATAGTTATAGTATGGTCCCAAAATGTTTCACCAAGTAATATGAGACTCCATTCCGGGATAAAGCAAAGCTGAGACTCAAAAGACTAGACAGAAGATGCCGTGAAGACGTACAGTGGAAGAAAGTTTGCTGCCGATACTGCTAAACGATAACAATTATGAAGATATCCTACCTTTAAGGTACACACCAATATAAGCTCCTCCTATGGTTTATCATTTTCCCAAAAAAAATTGCAAGGGCTGTGACAGATGGATTTAAATGGACAATGATATAGGGTGGCAAAGATATAAAGCGGACGTGGTAGCTGAGTGGTTAGCATTGCTTACTGCCATTCGGCATACCAGGGTTCAACTCTTGGTCTGACCAACATCCAAAAGTTATAAAAAATTAATTTAAATAAAAAATTAAGCCAAATTTTTTAATTGCGGCCGCCTCTCGGCATAGAATGTAAATCCCTCCAAACGTATTTTTGACATGTAATAAAAGCTCCTCTTAAAAAAAAAAACCATCAACCGTACGGAGGAAGCTTTGTATAAACTGTAGCTCTCTTATTGTTGTTAGCTAAACAAAAGAAACCAGAAGAACATAACCCATGACCAATTATCAAAGTATAAGAACCATCTAAACCTCAATATCTTAACGTTATTAATCCACCTAATACAATTCCTATATGAGCTACAGAAGAATAAGCAATCGTAGAATATTTCAAGTCGAGTATTATGGCTCGCAAAGAACATAGATAAACTGTTACACAGACAGTAAAGAATTAAGTTCACGCTTCATTTTTAATTAGTATAATTTACATTGCAAGGAAGGATTTAAGATGTTAGCAATTCTTAATGGGTGCACGAACACATGGGCATTAAAGTCATTTATGTAAAAATCTTTTCAATAAAATAGTACAGTTTTTTAATTGATTTATCAGGTCATTCTAGGAAAGCTCTTGTACCGCGAACGCCAACTATCTTTAGGAAGAAATTGATTATTATAGAATTAAGTATGTTATTTTTTATGGAAGTGCTGAAGGTCGTTGCATGCTGATGGCACTAGAAGGCAAAAACTGTAGGGGATATGGCTTCTATCAAGCGACACTAGAACATCCAATTTGCCAATTTCGATAAAAATAAGTTAAGCTGAAATAGTAGATGGAATGAAAGCATGCATTGTCTTTAAATTACGATTAATTTTAAGACGTACGAATCGAACCACTCAAAGTATTGTATATTGATGTTGCCCAGTGTAACCTCAACTAGCCTAAAGTGTGTTGCTTTTTTTTCGATTCAGTTACATTTAGTGGTTAATATTATTATGTTCCATGATATATTTATGTGTGTAGGCATTCAAGTGATTTTTATTTTAGTCTCTCGTCAAAGCCTTTCAATGGTTTACTTGGACTTGTTGTATATATACATATATATTTAATTGTAACATTCAAAATTTCAGGTTTGTAGTGATCGGTAAACAAATGCTATTGATCTGTATATAATTTAACATGTAGGGACTTTGTACAGGCCAAGATAGCAGTCGCCACTTAAATATCGGTCTGCTGAACCCTTTCTTGATCCTGAAGTTTTATTTACCAAGTATTAAAGTAAATTATTTGCTTCCGTTGAAGGGTATAATCACATTTGCTCTTACTTGAATGCATTTTCGCGTTCATCGTGAAGGGCAGTCTTTAGATGGAGTGTTTAAAACTTCAAAACTATTCTAACAAAATATTTAAGAGATTTTCTTTTATATTTCAAAATTCCTCGAAAAATTTTCAATCTTAATGTTTGCCAATAACTTGAAAAAACCGTATGCAATTTAAACTAAACAAGGTTATCAGACATACATACATACATGTATGGTAAAAATACAAATGTGAACGTAAATCAGGTCATATGACATGCATAAAATAATGCATAGACTAAAACATGGATGGGTAATTGTGTTACACGCATAATAAACAGTAAGCATTAAAAGAAAACTCAAAAGAATTACATTTGTTAGTGCGCATGTGCATGTCTGTGTGCGTATGCCAAGTGTGTGCACAAATTTACGCATTGCATTATAAACTGCAACACACACTGCTAACAGAAAGCAAAACAATAACAACAAGAACGAAAACAGATAATGCTT